AGGATCTCCAGCCTCCCCGACCAGGAAGCTGCCCTCGTCGGCCGGGCCGCGCGGCCGCCTGGTGACGATGGGGCCGATCGGCGCGCTCGAGGGCCACGGGAGCAGTCCCGCCGGACCTGGGCGGGCTCCGGAGGCGACCCCGGGCGGCCTGAAGCAGTGAGTCCGCGGAGGCTCAGTGCCTCGCGGAGCTCTCTCCGACGCATCGGACTGATGCCGACGCGTTGGAGGGGAGGCCGGCGCTGAGACCCGGGGATTCCGTCGCAGACCTCACGAGCGGCGAAGGGATCTCTGCCGACGCCCTCGCGGCCTGGATTCTGGGGCTCGCGATCCCGCGGACGCGCGGTCGCACGCACACGTCCCGCGCAGGGCTCCTGTGACAAGAAAAACACCCCGCAGCCGCGGGGCCGCGGCCCATGGGCCCAGGGGCCCAGACCCGCGAGCCGCGGACGCGGATACATTTGTCGCCCACGAGCAAGGGCTCCCCGCTTCGCGCTCCGCGCTGCGCGGAGCGCGAAGTGCGAACAACTTCGCGCTCTCGCGCCGCCTCCCAGGGGGGAAGAGGAGGCCGAGGAGGAATCGGAGCCGAACCGCGAAGCGCGAAGCGCGAATCACTTCGCGCCCTCGAGGGCGCCCTTCGACGAAGGCCACGGACGGCACTGCCCCAGCCCGGAGACGCCGCAGCCGAACGGCACCGCGCGAGGGGAGCGCCAAAGGGAGAAAGCTCTCGAGGCCGAGAGGTGCCAGGGACAGGGGCGGGGGCCAAGGTCGAAGCGCTCCCCAGCGGAGGGAGCTGGGCGAGAAGAGCGAGACCGAGTCATGATGGGCCTGATTTCCACCACCACCACCACCATAAGTTGGAGGGGGAGGGGGTCCTCCTCCTCCTCCTCCTCCTCCTCCTCCTCCTCCTCCTCCTCCTCCTCCTCCTCCTCCTCCTCCTCCTCCTCCTCCTCCTCCTCCTCCTCCCTCCTCCTCCTCCTCCTCCTCCTCTCTCCTCCTCCTCCTCCTCCTCCTCCTCCTCCTCCTCCTCCTCCTCCTCCTCCTCCTCCTCCCCCCATCCAACTTATGGTGGTGGTGGTGGAGAACAGGCCCATCAAGTCAGGCTGGGCGAGCGCCCAGCCGGCCGACGGCGTGACTGAGACGAAGGCGGCATGGCCAGAGGCCTCCGGGATAGGGTCGGAGCAGATGGGGTCGGAGGATCGCACCGCGTCGGTGCTGGATCGGCGATGCATCGACGACGCGGGGCGATCATCCGACCCCATCTGCTTGGACCCTACTTGGGAGGTCTGGCATGGAGCAAAGTCTGATCGGTCCCTATCCCCACTGGCGTGGCCTGGGCCACACTGGCCGACTCACCCCCCCTGGATGGGGACGTAGGCTGTCCCCTTCAAATTTCGAGGGGCATGTCCCCAACTGGGGCGGTGAGATGGTGGGGGATGTTGATGGGGACGGGGATTGGGATAGCGATCCGCTGAACGATACTGAAGAATGGATGCTCGTGTGAGGGGCCAGGTCCTTCGGCTGGTCTGGGGCCCGGTGCGCCACTCCGCCCGCGACCGCCCGGCGAAGGGGGCTCTGACGCCCGGAGGACGTCCCAGAGGCGCGACACCCTCCGAGTGGGCGGGCTCGCCGCCCACAGTGCCCGAGCATGGCGCGTGCGCTGCTGGAGCGCAGGCCTGAATGTCATGCTCGTGTCTTGTCTAGTATCAGCGTCCTGGGGGGTCCCCCGTGCGATCGGAGAGGCATGGAGTGCGCCTTTCATGATCTGCCGAATGCTCTCCGTGCTCATTCGGTTCCCATGCCCGGGCGGACACAGGTAAGGTTCCTTCTGCAGAAAGTTGCGCACACAGAAAGTCTTGAGGTTTCACTCGATCGAGATACACATACGTACGAGTTCTCGCTCTCAGTTCCGACGGATTTCGCTATGAGGAGGAAGGAGGAGGAGGAGGAGGAGAAGGAGGAGGGACGAGGAGGAGGAGGGACGAGGAGGAGGAGGAGGAGGAGGAGGAGGAGGGGAGGGGGAGAGAAGGAGGGAAGAGGGGGGAGGAGGAGGGAGGAGGGAGGGGGGAGGAGGAGGAGGAGGGAGGAGGGACGAAGAAGAGGAGGGCGACGACAAGGAAGGAGGAGGGAGAGAAGGACGACGCTTTTCCAGCGCGTGAAGCGACGGCAGCTGCCGTCGCCCGCCGGGCGGCCCAAAACGGCCGCTCAGCGGTGGCGATCTGCCTGGCCCGCTGGCATCCACCAGCGGCTCGCAGAAGGTTGTTGGGGAGGGGGGTTGTGTGGCAACTCATGGGAGCCTCCTACACCACCCTGTTTGCGCTTGCAGATCGACGCGAAACCGACGCGAAACCGACGCGAATCGAGGCCAATCGACGCTCAATCGGCGCGATCTCGTCGATAACCAGACGCTAAACGACGCTAGTGCACGCTCAAGACAAAAATACGAGGGTACACAAGGCCCCCTTGACTTGCTAATAGGCAGGGGCTTGACTTGCTAAAATACACGGGGGGGGGGGCTTCTAATAGGCAGCCGCTGGACACGGGGACGAGAGAAAACCTCGAAAACCTGAGGCCAGACTTTTGCTCGCCACGTTCGGGGTCCGCGGGGCCGTGCTCGGGCCCATGAACCGTGAGAAGGAAAAAGCGGGGCAGAAAGCCCAGGGCAGGAGTCCCGGGGGGGCGTCCAAGAGGGGGCGCGCCCAAGAGGGAGGGGGCGCAAATCATGGCCAGCGGCATGTGCGCGGCCCAAGGAAGGGACGCATTGAAAATGAGGGGAGGCGCCATGAAATCTGGGGAGATATCATGGCCCCCGCCAGGATATCTGCCCCCCGCTCTGGTCTCAAGTCGGGCCTGTCCTCCTACAGGGGGATTTTGGACCAAAAAATTAAAAATAGTCAAAGAATGCACCACAATGGTCACGAAATAACCCAAAAGCTCGTCCCCATACGATTTCTTGACTATTTTGGGATATTCCTCCCGTAGAGGGCCGTGCCCGACCGAACTCTGGTCATCACCCCCCTCTCGGCCCGCCCCCGAAAGTCGCGAGGCCCAGGGGCCACACGTGGAGGGCCACGAAAAAACAGCACGTCGGTGGTCTGGGCAGGCAGTGCCCCGGGCTGCCGGGACGGACTGCCTGCCAGACTAACCCCAACCCAACCTGAGAATTGCACTGGCAGACGCGGCATAACCCACTACAGGTGCGAAAAATCTGGTTTCTCAAAATGAATTGTCAACTGCCTTTCAAATCTTTACAAAACCAACCCAAAGTCACCACATTGTCCGCCCGGGCCGGGTGGGCCAACTGGCGCCGGCGGTGAACCGTCAACCCGAAGACCCCAATTTCGGGTTGGGGGGGGTACGGGTTCCATATGTGTTTTGTCAGTGTTCCCCGACCCCCCCCCAGCTGGAAATGGAGGGCAAATGGAGGCCCTCGGGTTGGGTTGGGGTGGTCTGGTGGGTGGTGAGGGACGCCGCTGGACAGGAGGGGCAGACGTTGCACGAACACCACTCTCCCGTCGGCGGCGAGGCAGACGTGGCCGCGGAGCGACGTGTCCAGCGTGCAGAGGCGGGGAAAGGACAGACGCTGCACGAACACAACTCCTCCGCCTCCTCCTCCTCCTCCTCCTCCCCCTCCTCCTCCTCCTCCTCCTCCTCCTCCTCCTCCTCCTCCTCCTCCCCCTCCTCCTCCTCCTCTCCCGGGCCAGCGCTGGACACCCCGCCCCTGGCGGGCGAGTCACGCTGGAGGGTCCAGCGCCAGACCCAAGGAAGCCGCGCGGGCCTCCCAACGTGTACGTCAGGTTCGTTTCGTGCCGACTTCGGCGTTGGTCTCTGACACCGCGGGGATCGTTCAGTCTGGAACGATCGGCCGTTTCCGAAACGTCCAGATCGTTCCACATCGAACGATTCTGGGTCGCCCGCGGCGTTCAGAGTTGAACGCCGCGGGCGGGGTCGCCGCCGGTGGACACGACACGAACCTACCGTAATGTCATGTCCTGTTGCTCTTCGAAGACCAGGCTGCTCCCTGGGCCGCTGCCAGGGGAAGAGACCCAGCAAGCAGCCACACGTTAGCCCCACCCATGAAGGTCAGGCTTCTGAAGCCGCAGCTGTGGGCCAGAATGTGAAGGATGGCCGCAGAAAAGTCAACCGATGGTTGAATCCACAAGGGGTAGGGTTCGCAAGTGATCGCAAATCTAAGAAGCCACCCACGACTCCAAATCGCCCTCGCTTCTTGGGAACATTCCCTAGAATAAAGGAAAACTGCAATCATAAGCGACAAATGCGTGCCCAGGCTCATGCAGGAAACAATGGGGGGCCACCTACGGTATGGGGTTGCCACAGCTTGCGACTGGACGTAAATATTATAACAACATTTGTTTGCCACTCGTTTCCTGTGTAGTTCTTCAGCATGGTATGAGCAAGCCGTCAAATACACAATGGAATGCAGCGATGTTTCACACATCTACTAGAGCTGCATAAGATTTCCTTTGGTTCCCATTGTATATCTCCAGCTTTGCTTTAGTGTTTGCTTAGTCATGTCCACAAGGGTGCTTCTCAGTACTATACACAGAAACAAACGCACCAAGTGTTGTTTTGAAAGATGAATGTTAACACGTTGACAAAGCATTGTACGTGTTCACCCCTGACGTCACGATCTGCATGAGGGGTGCGCCCGATGTTCACAATCATGAGGATTTCCCACGCGAAACGGCATGACAAATCGCGAACGACACATAGTCGCCTCTGGGCCCTACTCCCTCGGAGAGGTGCATATGAGAATAAGATACAAAAATCAGACATATACGGCCGGGAACTTTTGCTCAGCGTGTCGCCGCAGCGGCCCTGGCGACGAGCCATGCCTTGAGTGCGGATAGCGTGTCGATCCGCTCCACGGGGCGGGAACTTCAGAAATGCTCGGGACGCTACTGCCTGGGGACCAGGAAGCGGATAGCGTGTCGCGACGAGGCGTGCTGGACCAGAACCGGCGGAGAGGCACGCTATCCAGATTTCGTAATAAAGGGAGGGGGGTCTCATTTTGGGGGGGGGTCTCTTCCAGGCTATCTTGGAGGGTCTGGGGGGGTCTGGGGACGATGTTTTGGAGGGTTCTCCCACGGGAGAGGTCTGAAATGGCTTGTCTTGGAGGGTCCAGACCCCCTCCCTTTTATTACGAAATCTGGAGTATCCTAAGTCCCCCCCTCCCACACCCTGGAGCGGCACCTGCGGCGCCGCCCCCCCCACCGGGCTCCACGAGCTGGAGAGGGGTCGCGGGGAGGAGGGACTCGGCGCCCGTCCAAGAGGTCCGCGCAGACCCCTGGAGGTTGATGCTCATGCTGTCTTCGGCAATATACAGATCCACGGCTTACCACAATCATCATCATCATCATCATCATCATCATCATCATCATCATCATCATCATCATCATCATCATCATCATCATCATCATCATCATCATCATCATCATGATCATGATCAGCAGCAGCAGCAGCAGCAGCTGCATCATCATCATCATCATCATCATCATCATCATCATCATCATCATCATCATCATCATCATCATCATCATCATCATCATCATCATCATCATGCGGGGGGCATCAGCGACTCGGCGGTAACCCCCCAGGGAGAGCGGGATCATCATCATCATCATCATCATCATCATCATCATCATCATCAGCAGCAGCAGCAGCATCATCATACTCATCAGCAGCAGCATCATCATCAGCAGCAGCTGCTGCTGCAGCTGCAGCAACAGTATCATCATCACACTCATCAGAATTATCACCATCATCCCCAGCATCATCATAATCCTCACCATGCTCATCACGCCTCTCCCAAGCCTGGAGACACGAGGTGCCACACGTGACTGCCTCCCGCGCCTTCTCGAACAGTCGCCACCCAGAATGGTGGGCTGGCACGGTGGCGGGACTTGCCGCAGGCAGCTGGATATACGGATCCACGGCGTCTTCGACGTTTGCGGTAGGGATGTCAAAATCCCGAGACGCAGTGGAGATGGATAAATATGCGACCTCGACAGAGGCCTGATCTTGTCCAGACCCACTGCGCCTCGGGCTTCTGGAGAGGGGGAGCCCAGAAATCCGAGACGCAGTGGGTGTGCACGCAAATCGTGCCCGCACCTTCGGCCATATCCTGAAGAATGCCCCCCGCTTCCCTTGGGGGGGTCCCACTCTCTACAGAAAAAGGAGGGCGACTCCTCCCCTCCTCCCGACAAGCCTCATCCTCCTCCTCCTCCTCATCATCAGCATCATCATTTATGACCCGGAAGCTCAAACTTTGGCAACAGCTTCACAGATGGAGGGCGGCTGGTTTTCAAAATGCGGCTCTCGCCTTAGCGCGGCGCACATTCGTTTTTAAGAATTTGCAAGGGCTTCACGGATTGAGGGTGGGTGGTTGTCAAAATGCGGCTCTCGCCTTAGCGCGGCGCACATTCGCTTTAAGAATTTGCGCGAGTTTCACGGATTCAGGGCTACCCGTTTTCAAAATGTGGCTCTCGCCTCAGCGTGGCGCACCTTCGTTTTCAAATATGCCAAAGCTTCACGGATTGAGGGCGGTTCCGTTTCAAAATGTGGTTCTCGCCTCAGCGCGGCGCAGATTCATTTAAAACTAGTTACAAGAGTTTCCCGGATTCCCATCATGGACGAACCAGAGACGGTGTTTTGAAACGATTCAGGATTACGCGGGTGCAACAGTTACGCTGGTTCGCTGTGTTGAAGTCCCAGGAATGGCGCTCTGGCACGATTGAGGATCGTCAAGACGCAACAGTCAGGTTGATCCGTGGCGTTAGAATCGCGAGAACGATGTTTTGACATGCTTCATGGTCTTCAAACGGTTGTCTTCCAACGAGGCAGTTCCCTCAATAGACATGAACCGTTGCAGGGGCCTGTGAGGAGGGAGCTTGGAGGGAGGTTTTGTTCCAACATCGTTGATGACGCTTGGGTTTACACTGGTCCTCCTCCTCCTCCTCCTCCTCCGCCTCCTCCTGCTCTCACACGGCCAGCGCCCCCACCCCACCCACACCCCCAGGCCCCCGATGTCGTGACTCGCGTCACCACTGGAGGACGAAGAGCAGCACAAACATGAACCTTCGAAGCTCCGCGCGGATTCTGTGAGTCTGCGCTGGAGCTCCCCCCCCCCCTCCCTGATGCGCGGAGCGCGCCCAGGGCGGCGCCAGAGGCGCCACCAGGGGGCCCAGCGCCGATTCAAGGGATCGGCGCGGGCCTCCGAAAATCTGTGCTTGCGCCGTTTCTTCTATCTCTCTAACGTCGTCAGGACATCGGTCGGGGTGGCCCCGTAGGGAGCTCCACCGAAAGGTTCCAGTGGGGCAGCCCGCATGCGTCTCCCCCACCCAACACACCGTTCCGTGGCCACATAAAAAACTCCAGCGAAGAACTAAGTGGCGCAGCACGCATGCGTCTCACACACCTAGTACAGCGCTCGCTTCGTGGCCCCATGGGGAGCTCCACCGAAGGACTAAGTGGCGCAGCCCGCATGCGTCCCACACACCCAATACAACGCTTAGCGCTTCGTGGCCCCATGGGGAGCTCCACCGAAGGACTAAGTGGCGCAGCCCGCATGCGCCCCCCTTACCCAGTACAGCGCTTCGTGGCCCCATAGGGAGCTCCAGCGAAGGTGCCACTGGCGCAGCCCGCATGCGTCGCCCCCACCTAGTACAGCGCTTCGTGGCCCCATTGGTACCTCCACCGAAGGTCCCAGTTGCGCAGCCCGCATGCGTCTCCCACACCCAGTGCAACGTTGCGAGGCCCCATATGGCCCCATAGGGAGCACCACCGAAGGTCCCAGTTGCGCAGCCCGCATGCGTCTCCCACACCCAGTGCAACGTTGCGAGGCCCCATATGGCCCCATAGGGAGCACCACCGAAGGTCCCAGTGGCGCAGCCCGCATGCGTCTCCCCTACCCAAAACAACGCTTCTTGGCCCCATGGGGAGCTCCACCGAAAGGTCCCAGTGGCGCAGCCCGCATGCGTCTCCCCCACCGAGTACAGCGCTCCGTGGCGGCCATAAGGAGCTCCACCGAAGAAGGTCTCAGTGGCGCAGCCCGCATGCGCCTCACACACCTAGTACAGCTTCGTGGCCCCATGGAGAGCTCCACCGAAGGTCCCAGTGGCGCAGCCCGCATGCGTCTCCCCCACGCAGTACAGTGCGTCGAAGCCCCATAAGGAGATCCACCGAAGGTCCCAGTGGCGCAGCCCGCATGCATCTCCCCCACCCAGTAGAGCGTTTCGTGGCCCCACAGGGGGGCTCCACCGAAGACGATACCTAGAACTGCGGTATTCACAACTGCATCTGGTTGGGTCCTCCGCCCGGCTAAAATATATGCTTTCGGGACACTCGATCTTGAAATCTTCACAGAAACCATGGCTTTTGAAAGATTCCGGGATGCGCGCGCGACGACGCGCGTGCGCATTTCGCTCATTTGTTGCAGGATTGTTAAACATTGTTTTATGACAAACCAATGTGCGCGCATAGTATATTTTGCAATGGATGGCGGGGGGGGTATTATGAATTCATTTTAAGAATGGACGGTGGAGCAGAATCATACGGAAACTGCCATAAGAAAAGGCGGGCGGATAATTCCGCCCTCGGAGGGGTGGTAGATCTCAATTCCTTTTTAGCGACGGGCGGCGACGAGGCGGCGACGGGGCGGCGACGGCGGCCATATAGCGGCCAGACCGAAGACACGGCCCACACGACGGGCGGCGACGAGGCGGCGACGGGGCGGCGACGGCGACCGAAGACACCGCGCAGTTCCTTAGAACAGAAGTGAGAACCCCTAAGTGCAAGCATTGTTCGGGGAAAAAAATCCTCCTCCTCCACCTCCTCCTCCTCCTCCTCCTCCTCCTCCTGCTCCTCCTCCTCCTCCCTCCTCCTCCTCCTCCTAGTCCTCCCTCCTCCTCCTCCTCCTCCTCCTCCTCCTCCTCCTCCTCCTCCTCCACATCCTCCACATCCTCCTCCTCCTCTCCTCCTCCTCCTCCTCCTCCTCCTCCTCCTCCTCCTCCTCCTCCTCCTCCTCCTCCTCCTCCTCCTCCTCCTCCTCCTTCCTCCTCCTCCTCTCCTCCTCCTCCTCCTCCTCCTCCTCCTCCTCCTCCTCCTCCTCCTCCTCCCTCCTCCTCCCGCTCTCTCCCGCTCTCTCCCTACTCACCCCTCCATCCTCCTCCTCCTCCTCCTCCTCCTCCTCCTCCCTCCTCCTCCTCCCTCCTCCTCCTCCTCCTCCTCCAGCTCATCCTGATCCCTCCTCCTCCTCCTCCTCCTCCATTTCCTCTCTCCTCCTCCTCCTCTCCTCCTCATCATCATCATCATCATCATCATCATCATCATCATCATCATCATCTCATCATCATCATCATCATCATCATCATCATCATCATCATCATCATCATCATCATCATCATCATCATCATCATCATCATCATCATCATCATCATCATCATCATCATCATCATCATCATCATCATCATCATCATCATAATCATCATCATCATCGTCATCATCGTCATCATCATCATCAGCAGCAGCATCAGCATCATCATCACCGTCATCATCAGCAGCAGCATCATCATCATCATCACCATCATCATCATCATCATCATCATCAGCAGCATCATCATCAGCAGCATCACCAACATCATCATCATCATCATCATCATCATCATCATCATCATCATCATCATCAGCGTCATCATCATCATCAGCATCATCATCAGCATCATCATAATCATGGGGCGAATCATAGTCATCATCAGCATCATCACAAGCACCATCATCCTCATGATCAACTAAATATTATGTTTCATCATCTGATCGTAATGGCCATCGATTTCTTTATAATTCATCATCGTCGTCATCATCAGCAGCATCAGAGTCGTCATCATCATTAGCAGCAACTACATCAAAACAAACATCAGCATGGCATCATCGTCATCATCAGCAACATCATAATAATGAGCACAATCATAATCAGGACCATCAT